CAGCAGCAACATGAAACAGATCAGCAGCAACATGGAGCAGATCAGCAACAACATGAAACTGATCAGCAGCAACATGGAACAGATCAGCAGCAACATAAAACTGATCAGCAGCAACATGAAACAGATCAGAAGCAACATGACACCGATCAGCAGCAACATGGAGCAGATCAGCAGCAACATAAAACAGATCAGTAGCAACATGAAGCAGATCAGTAGCAACATTAAACTGATCAGCAACAACACTATAAACTGATCAGCAACAACATGAAACGGATCAGCAGCAACATGAAACTGATCAGCAACAACATGAAACAGATCAGCAGCAACATGAGATTAGCAGCAACATGAAACTGATCAGCAGTAACATGAAACTGATCAGCAGCAACATGAAACTGATTAGCAGCAACATGAAACAGATCAGCAACAACATGAAACAGATTAGTAGCAACATGAAACTGATCAGCAGTAACATGAAACTGATCAGCAGCAACATAAAACTGATCAGCAGCATCATGAAACAGATCAGCAGAAACATGAAACAGATCAGCAGCAACATGATTATCCTGGTTAGATATTCCTAAGGCTGCACAAACTCAAGTTCATGTTGTTGTTTGACGTATTGTTTTGATTGTTTACTGCTATTAGTGCTTAGTGTTTTATTAGTAGATGTTTTTTAGTTGATATTTTTCTTAATTCATATCTTAGATCTTATTACTGTTTTTCTTTTACATTTTGTTGTCTGTAACTGGGACCCTGTGTACAGAATTTCATCCCAATTCAGTATTTATTCAACATTTTATTTTTTGACTTTAAAAATAAAATAAAATCAAGCCCTTATCGGCACAAATAAAGTGATGTGGAACATGTTGCATCTGTTCTTACCGAGCACAGGCTGTCGCGTTGTGCTGCTCTGTGAGGTGCAGCTGGGCTGTGATAGAGACCTTTCAGGTGTAGACTCCTCTGATGGAGCTCTGTCAGGTGTAGACTCCTCTGATGGAGCAGGAGCCGGGAGGCTTGGAGGGTTTAATGTGGAGTTTAGAGACGAACCGTCACGCGCTGAAATACGTTCTGGATAAAATACAGTGAGAAACGGGACCGGAGGACAGTTAGCGTTTATGCAAATTAGCTTAGCATCGTAGCACCGATGTTGTCCTATTATGGCGTCAGCCTCTTTTGTTAGTTAAAAATATGTTCAGAACCGATGGGATGAGTAACTTAAAATATGTTTAAAGTTAGAAAACACTCACCATCTTCTATAAATGGTTCAAGTAGAGCAGTAGTCGTGTCCAAACCACCCTCCAATCCTCCATCTAGCTCGCTTTGACTTTTTTCGTCGGCCACCAAGCACAACAACACCTGCACTTCTGCATTTGACCACAGCTTTGATATTATTTTTTTTTATAGCTTCAAAGTACTAAAAGATACGCTCCTCCAGTTATCACTAATAGCAAGCGGGAGAGAGAAAATGGCGGATCAGGTTGTTTCGAAAGACTCCACAGACCTCCCCCCTCCTCCACACTCCTCCCCCCAACCAATCAGTGACTGACAGTGTTTCTGACATTACAGCTCGGCTCGCTTGGACCCCTTGAGAAGCCGGGCCAGAATTTAGGGAGGTGAGCCGGTCCCAGGAACCATGGAAAAGACCTCAAAACGCACGTCAAATATCCGACCCGCGCCGTGACAGTGGAAAAGGGGCATAAGAGATGAGGTCAGGCAGGAATCTCCGTGGTCTATGATTTTTGCAGACGACATTGTGATCTGTGGTGAAAATGGAACAAGTGGAAGGAAACTTGGAGAGGTGGAGGTATGGACAGTTTCTCTTCACAAAGATTGCTTCCTCGACTCCTCTCTCAAACCATTGTTCCTCTCTATCAAGGATGTGCACATCTTCATCCCTGAAAGAGGGACTGCTGGCCTGCGCTCTCTGAGGTCAGCAGACCAGAGGTTCCTTTCAGTTCCAGAAACCTGTCCTAAGCTCAGAGGTGACAGGGCTTTCTCTGTTGCAGGTCCAAGATTGTGGAATGAGTTGCCACTGCGTGTCAGGCAGGCTCCCACACTCACAGTTTTTAAGTCTCGCCTGAAAACCCACTTTTATTCCATTGCCTTTGACACTGTGTGATTTGGTTTGATCCTGTCTGTAGTCTACAGTGTTGGCCACTCAGTTATTATCTGCTGCTATTTGTATCTATATTTTTATTTTATGTTTTCCTGTCCACTGTGCTTGTTTGTTTCTATTGTACAGCACTTTGGTTTCCCTTGTTGCTGTTGTTATGACCCCCCTTGTTGGAGGAAGGGGAGCATGAACACGACAACCACAATAAATAGACAGAGTCCTTGTAAAAGTGAAAGAAGAGCTTTTATTGTTTTGTTCTTCTTTAAGGTCTTTTTAATTCTCCAAAAAAGAAAACTGTGGGGGGAGAAAGGTACAGTTAGGTTAGTGCCAAATCAAAGAAACAAACAAAACAAAACAGGGCCTAACTGACATCTACTCTACATGGAAAATACAATAAAATGAAAATACCCTGACCTGCTTATCTAAATAAAGAGTTCACAAAAAAAATTACAAGGGTGGCACCAACCTACTTATCTAGTGTGTTTAACAGAACTTTTTATCTAAGTGTGGAAGTGTATAGGGTACCCCAAACTTACCTAGTCCTCTAACTCCCACCAAACCTTATACAATGAGCACTGCTCCAGACAGCAACACAGGTGAGCCAAACAAGCAGCATGGAGGGAAGTCAACCAAAAAAAAAAAAAAAAACAGCACAGAAGAGCTTCCTTTATAGGGCAGTCCTTAGTCCTGCCCAACTCTCCAACCAATCAGCATTCAAATCTCCTAATTTGAACCAGCCTGCATTCTGCACCTGAGGAGCAAACAGAGAAACAAGAGGAGAAAAAACACAAAGTCCTCCAGACATGTAACACTGTTTTAAGTGCTCTATAAATCAATTGGTATGGTATGGTACCGTAGTTTGTCTCAGGGAAGGAAGCTTCTCAACTGGAGCTGCAGCACGAAGTTTAACACACTCTTCATACTCCACTTTATAGTGCTGTTTTAAATAGTGAAAAAGGTTTGTTGTGCGCGAACCTTTTGTCGAACTTGTTTTTGGCATTGCCTCCAGAAAACATTTTTCTGCTGTACATCTGACAAATTAAACCCGAACCATCTCCGAGTAACAGAGCCGTTATTTTTTTCCTGCTCACCAGTTCTGTGACTTGCACTTTCTCCATTTTGTGACTGTGGCTGCTAGGTGCCGTTCTACCTGGAGAGAAGCAGGAAGCAGGGGGAGAGCGCATGGGTAGGGGTTAGGGTTTGTAGTGAGGGAGAGGAGGGGGGCCGTGTGGGAGAAGAAAGAACAGCAGAGCTGGTGGATTTTCAAGTATAATTATATCATTTATATCTATATGATGTCAATTTATATTGCAAATGAAATTATATTGATATTTTTAAAATATCAAGATATCGCCCAGCCCTAGTTGTAATTGACAGAGTTAATCATACTAACAACAGGTCTTACTCTCATCATCATCATCAATGTATGATGATGACACTGACAATGATGATGATGATGATGATGAAGACAAAGACGATGACGCTGCTGCTGCTGATGATGACGATGATAACGACGACCATGAAAATGATGGTGATGACAATGATGACGACGATGATGATGATGACGATGATGACGATGATGATAATGATGATGGTGATGACAATGACGACGACGATGATGACGATGATAATGAAGACACAAATGAAGATGATGATGATGATGATGTTAATGATGATGGTGATGACAATGACAATGATGATGACGATGATAATGAAGACAAAAATGAAGATGATGATGACGATGATGATGATGATGACAATGACAATGATGATGACGATGATGTCACACTGTTGAATTGCCTCAAATCTTCTAATCTTTTGCCAACAAACTGATTTTCCTCCCGCCATATTTCTGACACGATTAAAAGTTTGATGTGAAAGCATAGATGTTTTTCTTTCACGCTGTGTCTCTTTCTTCTGCTGGACTTGTGGTTGTTCTCTCAGATGCCCAGAAATACTTATATTTTAGCTCTAAATGTTTTTTTAAACATGAAGTGAAGTCTCTTTGACACGTCATGTCTCCTACACAAACCACTGCCTGTCACAAACTCGGCAGTCAAGGAGCAACAGACACACGTGCGTGGTTACCACGGTGAACAGCTCTGATCTCGGTTCTGTTTCCACAGAGTTCTGTTGGTGTTTGAACAGCAGCTGCGTCAGAACCCATCAGCGGTTCTACTGAAACATTTTGCTCTTCTTATCTTCCACAGTTTAATCTTTTATTGTTTTTTCAGGAAAAACCTCACAAATGTAACCAGTGCGGGAAAGCCTTCAACCGGAGCTCTACCCTGAACACGCACACACGCATCCATGCCGGCTACAAACCGTTTGTGTGTGAGTTCTGTGGGAAGGGCTTCCACCAGAAAGGTGAGGAACACAGCTTCTTCTTCTCTGGTTCTTTCTGTCCTGGAGGTGCTCGGTGCCAAAGGTCTGGGCTCAGTGGAGAATAATGTGACTGTCCTGGTGTGTGAACACTCATACATCTCTGCCATTTGATAACACTGAACATGTAGAGTTTGTGACATGATCTTATTGTAGCTTTTTAATAAATTATTAAACTTTATTGGCAATTTTACGAGTTAGGATGAAAAAAGAGAACAAATTGTTGTGCAGAAGGAAGTCAATCCTGTCCTCTGGGGACATTTAAACACCAAACTCAGCTGGTCTCTGTGAGTCTCTTCTGTATTTGTGTTTGTTTGTTTGTTTGTTTGTTTGTTCATTTGTATAGTTTAAGTACTCTACAGAGAAATGTCAAAGCATAAACTAATCAATTATTCAGGTGTGCCAAACATCGGACATTAATTTTTTCTGATGAAGACAGAGACACGGTTTGTGTATTTTTTGTTATCTGAATAATGCAATGTATTTTTTTATTTTATTTTATTTAACATGTTACATAACAATGCTATATTTTTGTATAAAGTTCAGTTATCTGCGTGTAAAGCTGCATCCTAAATCTTTTATTTTCTGAAGGATTTCAAAGATACAACTCTCGTGGACCCACTCAGACTGACCCGTTTGTTCTGCTCCCGGTCTCAGACACTTTATTCACATCTTTGTAGAAATCTTTGAAACAGAATGAATGGGTTTACCTCCTGGGTTTGGGCATGGGCTGCCCCCTGTAGAGGGCGGGTACATGTCTTGGACCTGGGGGGTATAGAGTGTGTATCGGGAATAAGAATGAAATGTATCATTATTGTATGTCTTTGAGTGAGTGCGTGTGAGAATGAGGTTGGGATAGTGTGATTGTGTCTGTGTATGAATGGATATTTGTTAGGCCGAGACTCGGACTGCCCCCTCTTTGAAACAACTGGGGGTGCTTGGCATCGCGCCCCTATCGCACGGCCCCCTGGTGGGGTGTGCCCTTGCCTGCCGGCGCTCTTGGGGCCCTTGGTATCGGGGGCTGGGCGCTTGGGCGTGTGTCGGCTCGGCCTGGTGTCTGCCTGGTGGGGCTCGGGTCCTCTGGCCCTGTCAGGCCTTGGCCTGGGTGGTGTGCGTCCTCTGTGCCCGGGCCTCGGTGCCCGGGCCTGGAACTGCATCGGTGCGGCGGGTTCCGGCGGGGGCCTATGAGTTTGTCACTGTTGGCCCCGGGGGGTCACTGTATGTGGTTGCTGGTGGGGATCTTCCGGTTCTCCCCTGTGGTCCGATCTGGGGGGTGGGTGAGTGGTTCGTCCTGTGTGGGTGGCCCTGGGGGCTCCGCGGTCGGGGTCCCTCATGGGGTCTTGGGCTCTGGTCCCCCCTTTTTTGTCTGCCTCTGGTCTTGGGGGTCGGGTCTCTGCTGCTTCACAGTTACTAATAAATGTTCTATTAGAGAAGCCTTATACACTTATGCATGCTCACAACCACACACAAATAGAAGCAGGGATGTTTATGTAGGCTTTATATGTAGATATATAGATATGTATGTGAGTGTATATTCATGTGTATGTATGTATGTATGTATGTATGTATATAGGCGTAGGTATGGGTATATATATTTAAGGAAACTTACTGCAAAGCCATGAATATTTTAAGTTCTTTATACATATGTATTTTGTTGCTGTGTTTTGTCATGTTCTTTGCAGGTGAACAGACAGTGGCCGGGTGTTTTGCCGTGTGCTCTCTTTGTGTATATTTCCTATATTTTGGAGTTTTACTTTGTCTTTTCTTTCTTTCTATCCTATTAAAAAAAATAATAATAATAAACTACACTAGATAATCACTAGAATAAATATTTCATAATAATGGTGTGGAGAGGATGGCTGTAAGGGGAGAAGGGAGGCCATCTAAAAAAAAGAACAAGAAAAAAAAAGAAATCTGTGAAACATAAAGCGTCGAGTCAGGAGGATAAAAATTATTATTTTTTTTATTATTTTGGGTTGAAGCAAAGAGCAGCATGCAGCATGGTGCTGGAGTCAGATGAGGTTTGTGTAGGGTTTGTGTTTATCTGGTGTCTGGCCCCCTCCTCTGTTATGCCTTAGTCCTGGCCTCCTGTCTCCTCTTAATGTGTTCTTCCTGCTCCCACCTGTCATCGTTCCCAGCTGATTGTCATTGTCCTCATTAGTGTGTGTATTTAAGCCT